CCCCCCTCACCACCACCAAACTGTCACGGGAGGTTGCGTGTCTGCAAGCAGCCGCAGTCAGGTCGGCTGTCCCATGGAAGTGATGAGTCCAGCAGAACATACCCTGCCTCTCAGTCTGTCCCATTCTCTTGCAGATCCAGAGCCGCAATGTCTATGACTGATGTGCTCGCTGCTGGTGACATCTCAAAGGCTGTGACGGCCTTTGCAGGTAAGAAAAGTTATGCTGTTGCATGCTTAAGTGGCATTAAAGCTCTTTTTTGTCAGCTATTGAATCCTTTAAAGCAGAATTGTGTGAACTGAAATGGGAATGTTGCACTTACCACTGCACTGCAGAAAGGTTAAAGAACTCCTTGTACCCTTACTAGTGCTTTACTGATTTCCTTAGGGAAGTTTAAAGTCTTTAGCTTTATATTTCAAAGACTGTATGACATAACTGACACTTCTATAAGCTGTATAGTTGAAGTCATTTTACAACAATTCCCAAGGACACTTAGGGGATGATCAGACGAACCTAAGCCAGTCACACTTGATATTGTCCTAAAGAACCACAAATCACTAGTTAGCAGACTATCGTTTTTGCATTTCGATTTTAAATGTTTAAAAGCATGGTATAGATTACAAGATTATCACATGACATACAGAGAAAGAAGGGCTGTATGGCAGAGTTGATCAGCTCTTATTTTTACTGAGGAAACTACTCAAGAACAAATCTTTAAAACCTGGAAATGTCCCTGGAAGATATATACAGAATGTATGTATCACTGAAAAGATTTAGTATTTTAAGAGGAAAAGGTAGGTTTTTCCAAAAAGGAAAGCTCACTTTTTCATAAGCAAGAGTCCTTGAGCGACCCTTGCCGTATTTTAGTGCCCTAATTGCGGATCTCCCATCCCAACATCCCCTCCCATCCCTAAAATTGCGGATCTCCCATCCCTAAAATTGCCTGGTACCTTATCTCTGCTTTGCTGTATGCTTCTTCCTGCTTACTTGCGCATCTTAGCCACCCTCTCCTCCCAACTGCCTTCTTCTATTGTCAAGATCTCTCCATCTGTCCTTCACAACTGGTTACGTCGGTATAAATCTGCAAAAGAAAAAGTGAGTCGTGTTCACTCTAAAGGAACATCTGATTAACATCTTTATATCACAGAGAATTGCTGCCTAAGGGACACCAAGCTTTATTGTTCCCTGAAAGCAATTAAAGATGAAATGATGCTGGAGAAAATTCCAGCTCGGATAATGATAGGCTGTAAATTGTGTCATATAAAAAAAAAGAGAGAAAGAGATCAGCTTTCTCTTGCAATCTAGAGCATGACATTTAAAGGAATATCTTATTTTAAAATGTGGTCATACACAGAATTTCACAAGTCATAGTCCTGGCAAGCAATGCATATGCAGTAGAAATATGTAATGTATTAAAAGGGCTAGTCAACTGAAAAATGGTATGGTGGCATTTTGCATCATCGACTAGAGTTGTATCTCTCTCTAGGACTCTGCTGTTTAGATGTCTGCAATTAAGTTTTAAATGCCACCCATTTTTCACGGCCGTTACAAAAGTAATCACACTCCCCGATTTATAGGAATGGGGCAGCAGGAAGAGTGAGACTTTGCAATGGCCATAAAATAGACCCAAATTTTGGCAGGGAGATCTACACACAGGAGTCTCCCAAACATTAAAACCTTTATGTGCTCCGGGCTCCCCTAATCATCCAAATAATAAAACCTTTAAGGAACCCAGTAACTCCCTACTCTCCTGAATATGAAAACTATCAGTAGACCCTATTTCCCCATTCCCCAGTATCACGATCCATTAAGGGGCTCTCCTGTCTTCCTAATCTCCCCAATATAAATGCAATTAATGGTCCCCTTGTCTACCTAATCTACCCAACATCTAAACAATTAAGGGGTCCCTCATCTCCCTAATAATAAAGAATTCAAGGGACCCCCGTCATCTCCCTAATCTCCCTATTGTCAGAACCATTAACGGGCTCCCTGTTTCCCAATTCACCCATCCACCTAATGTTCACATAAAAGGTATTATCTACCATGATACAGAATACTATTGCTAATCACGCAAAGGTTCCCAAACTATATAAATACAACTATTGTATTTTAATGCAAATGCCAAACATTATAGCTGTTTGCATGTGTAGCCAGACAGTTTTGGATATACATTTTTACACTAGAGTCCCTAAGAATGGTAAAATACTAGAGCAAAATTCAACACAGACATGGGTACACAGAAGTGTTGTACCAATTTAGGGAAGAAATACATTTTAATGCAAGCCTGTACTAAAAGAAATAAGGTGGCTGCCATTGCTAACATCCTTGTGAAAATGCCAGTTGCCAGGCTGTTTCTGGCTGGGGCGCTGATCAGTACTGAAGTATGCAAATCAGGTGAGTCAAAGGGAAATTAGGCTCTCTAATTTGCATATCTGTTCCAGGTCAGTGGATTTGAAAGAACGGAACGCATCGGCGCGGAATGATAGGCAGCCTTAACAATAACAGCCTCAAAACATCCTTACTACAGGTTTCCTTTAATGGTACCTTTGTTTTGCAGAACTAAATGCTAATGTTCATTTTATACATCTGTTTTAAAATGTGTTTCTTATGCATACAAAATTAGTCATTTGGCTGCAAAACTCTACGACAGCATTATTTTTGCTGGGACTATAATTGTCAGAATGACACTAATCTAGACATGAAAGTCAGGAAATCACCAGCACTCAGTGGTAAAGATAAATATGTCCCTTTTATTGGACAGAAAGCGTCACAGACGCTTTCTGTCCAATAAAAGGGACATATTTATCTTTACTACTGAGTGCTGGTGATTTCCTGACTTTCCTGTGTTTGCACTGCGCCATCCGTGGTATCTCATCACTGCGAGCACCACTTTTTTCATATCTGGCCGGGACTGCTGTGAGGAGTGCGGAGGGTCTCTCCATCTACTTACACTAATCTAGACATGTACATGCTTTTAGGTATCGTCTGTATTTAGCAAGGTAGGTGTCAATTCTACTAGTTACTGTGTGTGTACTCTAGACACAATGGATAGACTGATCAGTTGTAGACAAAGGCTAAAACTATAAAAGCTACAATCCCCAAGAGGGAGACATCACGGAGCACAATCTCTAGTCAAACTTCTTGCTTAAAGGACAAAAACAGCTACATAAATTAGGATCAAGGAGCTCAGTCTATGGTTCAACTAAATTCAAGGATCCTGTTTATTAGGTGCAGGAAACAAAGCAGTGCACAGGTGACGGTCATTTCAGAGGTACTACCTTCCTTTTCAAATAACTGACACTAAAGCCATATGTAGCAGACCATGTGAATGCTATGGGTTCCAGCCAAAGACCACAGACCAAGTGGTTGAGAATGTATCCAGGCATCAATATCATTAGCTCTCTGAGAAAGTGAATGCAAGGCAACTTCCCTATTACATAGCAACTGTAACGGTTGTTGATTCCTGTGGTAACTAATGCTGTAATATAAATCAATGCACCACTAGCAACCTCAGCAGTGAACAGGGGCATATTGATGTGAAGCTGCCCTCAGGGTTGGAGTGAACATTCCACAAACTCACTTAACTTGCACTCAATTAAAACTACAGTCCAATTCTCAGACAAAATAATTTTTTAGAAATTTCAAATCCTGCCAGAAAACATTTGTAGATTAAAATGTAATTCAAGTAATTGGAAGTACCCTAATATTCTCATTAAAATAAGCCTCAACTGTCGCAACCGCTACCAAATAATATATCTGCAGATGTCTGGTGATGTCGTTCATACAGCTCAATTATATTAACCCTAGGGTTGGTTTTAGATGAACTGGGGGCCTGGGTAAGAAATGGTGGTCCTCCTGGCTGGAATACTGCAGACCCTCTGACTGTCTGCCGCACTCTGCTGTTGTGTCTTGTTACCTTTATCATTTAAATCACCTAACAGTTTAATTTTACATTTTAATAAAATATGGAAAAGGTGAGACAGAGGAGTGATCAGATGAACAATAGAATGTTTTGCCAAAGCAGAAAGCTAGTGAAGGGACAAATATATATAGTGACATAGGAATTTTATACCTTCAATTAATTTAAAGGTCACATCAATCCGGCGGGTAGGGAGTCAATCCAGAAGGTGGTGGGATTAATGACGGAATAAAAAGGAAGTGGAAAATGTATTTACTGAAGAGCAAAAAGCTAACTAAAATGAACTGTCACTGTGTAATTAAATGACTTGGTGTGCCAGGGGTCAGAATTTTGTCCCTGTGTCAGTGAAAGGAAAGGTGCCCCTGTGTCCATGGTAGGAATAGTTCTCCTGTGTCAGCGGTAGGAATAGTTCCTCTGTGTCATCGTTAGTAATGGTGCCTCTATGCAAACATCCCAACTCTCCCAGACGCTCCGGGAGTCTCCCACTATAGGGATAGGGGCTCCCCGCCACCCGGGAGAGAAACATTTTCTCCCAGAAAGGTTTACTCTGCTCTACCTAGCAGAGTAAACCTTTCCCTGTGATCTGTTTTTTTTTTTTCTGACATCGGAGCCAGCAGACGCTGTCAGTCAGAGAAAAAAAAAAACCCAGCATAGAAATGAATAGCTAGATTGCTATTGGCTATTTCACTTTGCAATAGCCAATAGCAGACTAGCTATTGCACCGGCCCACTGCTGCTGTCAATCAGCAGAGGGGGACCTGAAGTTCTCCATCAGGTCCTTTTCTAGTGATTGACAGCAGCAGTGGGCGGGTGCAATAGCCAGCTTGCTATTGGATATTGCAAATTGAAATAGCCAATAGCAATCTAGCTATTCATTCCTATGCTGTTTTTTTTTATTCTGGAGGGCAGCAGCTGTCAGAATACTAAAAAAAAAACCCCAGCAGATAGCAAAGAAGCTAATACTTCCCGTGCTATCTGCCATCATTTCATTCAGGGGGGTGCTCTCTCAACCCCTCCCCCCCTGCACATGGGGGAGGGGCAGAGGACACCTCCCTGAAATGAGAAGGGCACCTCCCTGAAATTGCTTTTTTCAGGCTGGGATCCCTGCTCTATGTCAGTGATAGGAATGGTGTCTATGTGTAAGTAGGAGGAATGGTCAGTAGCTGGTGCTATACAGGACCTATCTGGATCACTCCACCCTATGGTGCCTTTTACATTCCACTCTGTCCGGCTTGAAATGAAAAAGCCCTGCATGCAGGGCCTTCTCATTGCAGGGGCCAATCTAGGGAAACCAGCAGGCCATAACTAGCTTGTGGGCCATAGTTTGGGGACCACTGCCAGTAATTAAAGGACACATAGGAAGAGGGGAGTATTTATTGGCTAAAATGTGGGAGAACACATATAACAACAGGAAACAAATTTATGTTTTATCATTTTTAATAAAATTATGGAATTATTGAAATTAGCACAGTTAATATCACGTTTTACACTAAGGGGTTTTGACATATAGCAAATGTTTTTATGTTTAGCATTAGTTTTTATTTACACACCATATACACAGCACTGCATTGCATAGATATAATCTGCACATTACACACAAACATGCACACAGCACTGCATTGCATACATACAACCTGCACATTACACAAAACATGCACACAGCATTGCATTGCATACATACAACCTGTACATTACACACAAACATGCACACAGCACTGCATTGCATACATACAACCTGTACATTACACACAAACATGCACACAGCACTGCATTGCATACATACAACCTGTACATTACACACAAACATGCACACAGCACTGCATTGCATATGTATAATCGGCACAATATACACAAACATGCACATATGACTGCATCATAGAAGACTTACCTAGCAAAGCAATCCTCTCCAGAGCTGCAATGCCACGTTCCCCTCTGACTTCTCTGGAATTTTCCCGGGTAAGCAGTCTTTAGCAACTGTATTGAGTGGGCCTAGATGACCCAACTCCCATACATGCCTGGTTCAGTGTACACTTATAGAAAAAAAGTGCTGACAGGCAGGTAAAATCATCTATGACAGAAGAGACAACCCATTGTCTTCTGTCATAAAAAAGCCTGCTTAAAAAAAAGACTTCCCTTGACCAGTATGGCTGCACATACAAGCATTGCAGCAATTAAAGGTCACCAGGTTTACAGGCTCTTACAATGGTACAAGCAGGACTTTTCAATGCAAAACTAGAGACACCCAACTAGTAAAACAGATGATTTTTATTACATTTGACCTTTCTTTAAAAAAAAAAAAAAGGTCTGGGGTGCTGCTATTATTTTGGGCCAGGTATGCCAATGTATTAAATATACAGTAGCCCGCAATGGGTCAATAAAAGAACAAGCAATATACTATGTATATAGGGCAGGGCAGACATAGCTGTAAAAGCCGGGAAAATTCCAGAGAAGTCAGAGGGGAACGTGACATTGCAGCCCTGGAGAGGATTGCTTTGCTAGGTAAGTCTTCTATGTTGCGCAAATATACTGTACATGCTTGCAAATCATGGCAAAAACCTCCTGGGGGCCCAACATTTATAATGTAGTCAGATGGTTTTATTCCGCTTTACATTAGGACCAGGACTGGAGTTTTGAATGGGCAAACTGGGTAACTGGGTATGGTGTTATCGTAAATTGCACACAGTGAGTCATCCTTTTCTCCCTGAGGTGTCATAGTTATATATGTCACTTTTTTGCATTTTTATTATTCTATGGTTATTATAATTAGAGTACACATACAAAAGAAGACCAGGAAAAAGGTGGAAGTATTTTACATAGCATTCAGCCAGACTGCAATAGGACAATAAAAAAACAAAACACTTTGATTGTTTGTCATAAACAAAAAGCGTATTGCCTATAAAAAAACAATCAAGTTCCTTATTTAAATCTCAGTTGAACATTTAGTATAAATCAGCTAAATAAACTCAAGGTGCATCAAAACAAAAGGCGTGTAAAGTCTTAGAGGAGAGGAGCCATAGTTTGAGTAGAAAAGCCCTTCACCTATCAGCATGCTGTAGAAAAGGATGCTTGCTTTCTGTAGGGAAACAGGGATCCCTCTGCATAGACCAGGCACGGCCTCTACTGAGCCATACCTTTAGCTCAGCAATTAAAGCTCATGCTCTCTTCTGATTGGAAAGATCTAGCTTTGTCTCTGCAGGGTGCATGTTGGACCTCTGCAGAAAGACTACTGCTTCCACAAAGAGAGCAGGAGTCCCAATCTGCAGCTGCTGGTAGGTGAGAGGTTTTTCTACTCAGGATGGGGCTGATTTAGATTAAACAAACTGTAAGACTTGTGTATTGATGCACTGATAATGTATTTAGCTGATTTAAACTAAATGTTTAGTTGGACTGTATGTAAATAATGAAAATGGATTGGTTCCACTTAGGTTATACAATTGTTTCACATTTGTTTCAGTTCCCTGTGCTACAGTTTGTATGAATGAGAATGCTTTTATTCTCTCAGATTCTTCTACCTACAACTTGTTGTATGTTTCCTAGCTCCTGAATCATTTAACCACAAGAAATTCTTTGAGTTGTGTGGCCTAAAGGGTAAAAGCAAAGATGACATGAAAAAGGTTTTCCACATCTTGGACCAGGACCGGAGTGGCTTCATTGAGAAGGATGAGCTTTGGTAAGTCCATGGGCACACTTGTAATTTGTAAACATGTTTGCGCGCATGAGCATCTATTTATAAACAAATTTACAGAACTAGTCACCCTGCGAATCTCTGTATACATTTCAATAGTGGAAAAACAAATTTCCTTAGTATATTTTCTTTTACGGGTCTAATCACTAAGCTGCCAAAGGACCTAGCCATAGCTTCGGCTGATCCTTCCGCTGGCTTCGGCCCCAGGACCCCTTTGGTTCAGTAGAACCAAAGGGCTGCTGTATGGGCTATTCACTATAGCCCGTACAGCTGCCAAAGTCAGCCGAGCGGCTCAGTCGAGCCGAAGGCATATGCTTCGGTTCCACTGACCCGAGGCGAAAGCCAAAGCTGGCCAGCCGACAGCCTGCTACTGACTGCTGGGCAGAGCCAGCCATCATCTCATGGCTAGATCCGGCCACTTGCACAGACAGATCAGCGTCCTTGGTTACCAGGTAACCAGGGACACTGATCTCCAGATAGCCCAACTCTCCCGGACGCTCCGGGAGTCTCCCGCTATTAGATAGCGGCTCCTGCCCGCCCGGGAGAGAAATACTTTCTCTGCTTTCCCTGCTCTGTTGTCTTTTTTTATGTTGGGTGGAGCTAGCTGTCACTGCTAGCTCCGCCCAATCATTTTCTATTATTTTTTTTCTACTGTTTTTCTATTCTGCTGGGTACCTTTTGTGATGCTGCCGCTCGGCAGCATTCGGCTATTCACTCACTGAATAATGAGAATAGACCGAACAGCAGCGATTAGCCTGCCGGAGGTTCGGCTTAGCCGATCAAGATGTTGGATCAGCTGAGTCGAACTCCTTCTGCACTTCGGGTTGGCTGAACATGCTGAGCATGTTCGCCGACCCGAAGCCACATGAAGCAAGCCGATGTACGGCTGATTTCAGCCGATATACGGCTGAAATTAGCTGTACAAGCCTGAATTGAATAGCCAAACAGCGCTCGGCTCACTTCACTTTGCGTCGGTTGTTCACTTGGCTGCCTTAGATCCAATGTAATAGTTAGAAAATACCGCATTATGGCCACTAGATGGAGCGGAGGAAAGAGGTATTTATTTCCATTGCTACTCAGCTCCATCTAGTGGCCATAATGTAGTATTTTCCATATATTTTCTTTTCTGGTCAAATGTAATATACTAACAACATTCCTTTTTGCCTCCATTCACACAGAACAAACATTCACAGAGAATCATAGGACAAATGACTCTGCAAATTGTTTATAACTAGAACCCATAGACATCTTTAAAGTTCTTTGTAGAATGCTTAAGCTTTTTATAGAAAATACCAGTCAGCAAAATGATTCCTTTGCCATAAACCTTGACTTACATGCAGATACCATCAAAAGATCCTATAATAAGGCCCCCGAGGACTCTGAATATGAATGAAACCGAAGATAGAATTATCCAATATTTGCAGGCAATTTACCAAACTGCATAGGACAATTGGCGTGCACTGGGTTGCCTTTATAAATCTTTGTGCAAAATCAGCTTTTATATTCAAGTTTTTTACAAAAGCTCATCATGAGGTGCTTGATGGCAATATATAATAAGTACACGACAAAGCTGTAAATAGTAAATTAGAACATTATTCAAGTGCTGCACTGTTCTGTACATAAAGAAAACCTATTACACATTAATGAAGCTTTGAATGGCAGAGGAATTTCCATGTAAGAGTGTATTCTGGATGGTTAACAGAGCAAAACAAACATCCACATTTTACAACATAAAACTATATTATATATTGCATAATGTGCTGTAATAATTGTGACAATGGATGACAATTTGTCAGCCCAACCAAAACTACTATATCAGTTAGATATGAACTCCAGTAGGTAAAATTACCCATGGACTAGGGATGCACCAATACCATTTTTTCGGTATCGTGTACCGATTTTTTTTTTTTGCGGTACTTGCCGATACCGAATACCAATACCGGAAGTAATTAAGGAAGCCAGGTGGCATGTAATGACTTGCCACCTGGCTTCCTGATTAGTCGGGAAGCCGGGTGGCGTGTAAAGACTAGCCACCTGGCTTCCGATCGGCAGGGAAGCCGCCTCCATGCTCCCTCGTCACCTGGTATGTAGCCGGCTTTCTGGCCAATCAGAAAGCCGGGCGCCATGTAATGACTGTCTCTGCGTTTTCCAGACACAAGGGTGGTCCCAGGAATGCAGAGGAAGGGGGCATAGAAATCAGCACAGGCACTATAACTGAAAGGGGAGACTTGTTGTCTGTTGGGAAAGTACAGAGATAGTGAGATAAGGGCTGTCAATCAACATGCAGAACATGGTTGGTAATGATAGGAGTGAACTGTCAAAGTCTGTATCTGTTCTACTGCACAAAGAAGCATTGAACAAAAAGCAACATACACTGTGGGAGTTAAGTAACTGAGCTGTGAAAAATAATACACGGTGAGACTTCTTTAAAGAGACTCTCTCATGACCTCGCCTTCTAAAAATGGTAATTGCCTGGCAGTCATGCTGACCCAAATGATCTAGGTGCTGACGAAAGTCAGCAATTGCAACCCCCATATTTCCCCCAATTATACTCTCCTTGTTGCAGTTCCTGTACTGTAAAGTGCAAGGCTGTGAATAAAACATTTGGTCCATTTCCAGCTCAATTTTCTAGCTTTAGGAAAGGCCCAGGAGTGGCCTAGAGGGGCAGAGAAATAAAAATCTAGCTTGCTTTTATTTGAATTATACTCCTGGTAAGAGCCAGGATTTGTAAAATATCTGGACACAGTTTATGTAATGATCGGTTCAGGAGTGAGACTTACATCTTCCATCTCTTCTTTTTTTTTACAGTCTTATATTGAAAGGCTTCACCCCACAAGGTAGAGATCTGTCCGACAAGGAAACCACAATCCTCCTCGCCGCCGGTGACAAAGATGGAGATGGCAAAATCGGCGTGGATGGTATATTTAATTGTTTAATATAGTTGTCAGGGTGAATGTACAATGAGTAACTGGCTCCAGACCAGTATTTTAAAGAAGCAAATGTGACTTTCACAAAACATTTACTGTTGGTGAATCAATCACCATCTTTTAAAACACATGCATCAAGAATATGCACCTGCAGTGAATGTTTGCTGAATATTACATTAACTGCTTTATAAATATAACACAGGTATAATGGCTTTTCAAATAGAGCCCCATTCCTGAAATATTTCCATACTTTAACTTTTAGGAATCACTTTTGTTATGCATAATTCAGTGCATTTGTTCCAATTATTCAACAGATTTTTGGGATTTATGGGCTTTCTGGAGGCAATGACATGAGAAAGCAAAGCCTTGCATCTACCAAGATGGCAGCCTCCACACGGTTACAATGCAGAACATGGCAATAATAGGAAAAAATTAGCTTAACCCCTTAAAGACTGAGGCTTTTTTTTGCACCCATGTTATAATCCACATTTTAGGCCTGAAAATGTATTCAAACCCCCAAACATTATATATTTTCTGAAAGCCTGTCGAAGACCCTGTCGAATAAAATAGTGGCAGTTGCAAATGTTTATGTTGCAAGATATTAGCTGAGGTTACAACAAATAAGTAGATACCCAACATGCCCAGGTTAAAAATTGTGTGCGTCTGTGAAACGGAGGCAAAATTCAGTACCCCAAAAAGGCCATAGATGACGCTTTAAAAGCCAGAGAATGATATCTCTCACTCTGGTGTGCTCAGCGATACTGAAAATTTGTGTGGAGCGATCATTATTCTTGTACGTAGGCGCACCAAACGCATGTTTACGTTTTGATGGGCGTGCTCGCAGGGGCAGGGGACTTTAACAAATGTCTTTATTTTTTTTTACATTTATTTTATTTAATATTATTTTTTAACTTTAATTGCTATCACATAGCAGGAATTACAAGCCCCCCATGTGATAGCATATTGGCAGTGACAGGTACTCTTTAAGGTGATACTGGTCCAAAAGACCCCATTATCACCTTTCCACTTTAAATAAGCTATTGCAGTGGAGATCGCACTTCAATATCTTATAGCTGGGCTTCAGAAGCCCAACAATGACAGCTATGGGACCGGAAGTAATGTAATCTGCCTCTCTCCCGTCCAATAGAAAGTGGAGGAGATCAGACAATGGACGTTCGCCACTCTTCTCCCCTGCTTCTTGACGACACCCAAGATGCTGGTCCTGGGCCCGTAGGAGGGGCAGCAAAGCCCGGGAAATGCGGCGAGGGTGTTGGGCAGAGGGACGGGCAGTTTACCAGTCCGTAGAAACGATCTGGCAACAACTGAGTTGCCAGAATCGCTTCTATTGTAAAGCCCGCCGCCGGCTCTACAAATTTAAACATAGTCCCGGTGGCTAAAGTTTGTTTAAACGGGCCCTCTGCCAGTGAAGTATGTCACTGGTCGCGAAGGGGTTAAGGGACACCACAGGTAATACTGGTGACTAATGCTTTGCCCTTCTCCTGCCTTTTCGTGGGCACAACTTCCATAGTTCAGTTCTTTTTAAGTACATATTTTGGGCTTTTGGATCATTAGTCGGGGAGTGTAATGTTTATTTGGGGGCACGGAGTCAGTGGTTGCCTGGCTGGAGCACAGCCAGGGACGTGTATGTTAAACAGTGTGTTCATATCTAATTATGATGGCGCTACACTGAGATAATAATTTTTGTATATAATGATTTTATACTGTTGTTGGTACTACTATACAATAAAGTATGAACTTTTAGGTATAAGTGGTATTAGACTTTTGGAACCTTTACCATTCGCTCAATACATTTGGAACCCTTTTTATTTTTTTTTTTAAGTAAACCTGTCGCCAAATGAATTTATGGTAACAAGTAAATAATCAGGGTTTACCTATAATGAATATCCAGAGATATAGGCAGCAGAAATCAAATGCAAATCTTGTCTTCCTGTAAAAGGATCTGTAAGAACTGAGCTTGCTGCCACCTCCTGAACTCTCTATAGAATAGTAAAGTCCATCACATTAGGGCTTCATGCACATAGCATCTGGGGATTGCTACCACAGCATGTTTGCAGTATATTGCATGGCAGTGGCCATCACACCTGTGTTGTGAATAGGACACATGGGTAGCCATTGCTTTCTATGTGTTAGTGTAGTGACTTCCGTTGATCCGGTGCAGCACAATGCACGTCACTGCGGGTAAACGGGTTCTTAATATGCAGTTTTCACTAAATGTTACAACCTGTTATGATTTTTTTAATCACATGATTAGAATAATATTGCCAGATGTGTAACAGTTTTACTTTAAAGATTAAAACTAGTAATTTGATCATAGCTCCTAAAGCCACTGTAGGATGAGCAATCGACATCATAATGTAACAAAAAACAAGGAAATACATTCATAAACTAAAAATTGTCAGTTTCTGCTCAACATAAACATTGAAATGTGATATGAACCAATAAACAATTACAAATCCAGCAGCAGAACATTTTTCAGAATTAGACAGTAGAGACATTCCCTCTTATGGATTTTAAATCACTCTTTTAGATTTCAAGTCAAATAACAATTGGAAATGTATCTATGCATCATATGCCTTAATCAAGAATCATTAGAAATATGATTAATCTAGCCATGGAGCCCTAACGTAAGACATACAGAAATTATTCCTGATGTAGAAGCACAGTATTTTACATAATAATCACATATACTTTCAATCTCTTGGAATGTTTGCAAGACAAGCAACTATAACAACTGAAGCTTGCATCTCTGTATAGTAAAGAACGCAAAGTCTCAGCAAGGTTACGCTATGCTAATTAATGGCAGTGGCTGCCACATTTAGGGTTTGAGATCTGTTCTTCACTTCATCTTTAAAAACATTTCTAAAACCAGTCATTTGAATAGCGGAGAGGCCTACCTCCTAATGAATGAATTCTACAAATCAGTAGAGAAGCAATAAGGGTAACAGAAGTATCAACTGTCATGAAGCCCAGGGACCTCAGCTCTGACACTCATTTAACATTTCTGTGTATTATCCAGAAGGGGCTTTCATGTCCATGTTATATTCCGTGAGGCATTTCTGAGTATGATGTCTGTTAATAATAAAGAGACATCCTTGGGCCCTGTCAGTTTGAATCAGGCCTGGAGGAGTTTAGTTACATCTCAGACCCTAAGTGCTATCTAAAACTACCACATAATACAAAATATAGTGCAATTCGGCAATATGCTACAGCCATCTTTTTGAGGAGATGCTTCCTATAAAAGGAGAACTATGGCCAAAACTTTTTTGGCCATGCTTCTCTTTAGGGTCACAGGAAGACCTTTACTAATGTCCTCTTGTGGCCCAAAACTCCGCATACAGCGGGCTATTGCACGCTATATGCCGACAGGGCAGAGCTGTGCTGCAGCCAGAAAGGATCCCGACAATATTGTCGGGATCCACCCAGCTACCTGATTGAGAGCTGGCTCTGCCTCTATAGAGCCTTTCACGCCCCCTCCCCCGTATGTCCCTTCGGTCAGCATTCCAAGCTCGCTCATGTTATGGACTACAATCTCACGTTTAGTTTACTAATATGTATTAAGATTGTATTCCATCACAGGAAAGATCTTGTCACAGTGACTACTTTACAACACACACAGAGACCATGGGGAACAAAAGTAGCCACCCTCCAGAAGGAAGGACAGTGTCAGCACCAATTCAGAGATGATTTCAGGATCTACAGCTGAGTGATACACAAATAAGCTATATTTTGGTTAATAGGGAACTTGAATGCATTTTTTAAGGTTTAACTCCTGGAGTTTATAGTCACTTTAAAGGATAACTTTTAAAAAATACTTTTAATTACACCCATTTTTAGTTTCCGATAGAGTGGGGAAGAGTTACAACCACTGCCAAGTTCTTACTGCTGGCTTTTTAGATCCATTTCAGCCCCCAACGAAAAATTGGCAAGGGCATCTCCACGAAACCCCACCTAACAACGTCTTTACCAGGAGGTCTCTTTTTTTGACATTACACAGATTACATCAAGCAAAACTCTATGGCTGGTATGGCGGGATCAGAGATATTGGCAGTGGAGTCTCCTATGGATAGGAGATATAGATATGGATATAAGAGGGGAATTTAACCTGTCTGCATCCACACCAAAGTAAAGATCAGTACTGGGGTGGTGACCCACGTGTGCCCCCCCTATGAAGAAGAGTGTCAGCCTCTCCTTCTCATCTTCTTCATCCTGCTGTCCTCTGTGCTGGTCCCCTTTACGTGTGGTGGCAACCCTCAGAGTGGAAGTCCGTGCTGTTCCCCCTCGGACAGAGTGTTGGAGTCGGAGGGGGAGGGAGACGTATCCCGCTCTTTCGTCTTTAATAGTGGCCTCCAGGACCCAGCACTGCCCCATATTCCTCTAATGGGGAGGCCCAGGCAGGATCGGATCGGATCGGATCTCACTGGGGCCCCCCGTCCCAGGCCCTTGTGTGGCTGCATTGCTGGTAAGTCCATCCCTGGTACAGTTGCGGCTGCATACAACCAGGAACACCAGGGTTGCCCCCTGTCTGTCTGACATCTTGTGTCTGGGTTTCAGCTTGCTTGGCCTGGCCTGGCTGGTCACAGCCGATGCAGAGCTCAAAACCCAGACTGCCTGTGGTTATCCCGGACTGGTGGCAACCCTACACTTTGTCTGTGGTTTCTGTAACTACCGTGTTTCCCCGAAAATAAGACACTGTCTTATATTTTTGAGGGCACAAAAAACACACAAGGTCTTATTTTCGGGGTAAGTCTTATTTTTTTTTTTTATATGCACAACAATCCACACGTATTCATGTACAGCAGTCTACATGTATTCATGTAAAAAATATGGTGATCAGGGCAATCAGGGGTGCCGTACCTTTCCAAGAGCAATTTGCTAACTAATCGCTGGCCAGAATGAGCAAAGCGCACTTTCACTATTGATTCCTCACAGGCGGAGTGCATTTGGTATCACTCCGCCTGTGACAGGAGCCGGCACTATAGAGGAGGCAGCTCTTCAAGTTCCCTCTTATGCCACCACCGGTCCTGGGAATGGTTACAACTAGGTCTTATTTTTGGGGTAGGTCTTATATTTTAGCACTTCCCAAAAATAGTACTAGGTCTTATTTTTGGGGTAGGTCTTATTTTCGGGGAAACAGGGTATACTGATGATCATTAGAAGATTTACACATCATTAACTAATACAGTGGCTAGTAAAGTAATATGAACATTGGCCATGCATTTTTACCTTAACTAAAGATATGCACCACTGAAAGAATACCTATATCTGCTCCTGGAAATCTAAATGGACAATAAAACCATTTCCTCATTCTGAATTCACATGGTGTTCAGTAACTTAAACCTGATCATGTAATGATTGTAGGTGTACAAGCCACAAAGACATGTGGCTTTAGCCTACAAACATTGAAAGTCATCAAAGTGCTAAATAACCAAGTACAGTGAGCCTTAGAAGTTCACTTTCGTGAATCTGACTAATACTTGATTGATTCTAACTGAAGGCAGTGCAATTTGTACAAATGCTTTGCTCCTTCTATTATTTTATTCAATAATACCAATATCATTGCATCTCCAGCAGGCTGCATAAAATACTTAATATATTTTGCATTCAAATCCCTGTGCAAAATGTAATTTTCTTACATGATCACTGTTATTTTTTCACAGAGTTCGTAACCATGGTTTCTGAATCCTAAGCCGTTCAAGCACCATTCTTATTTGTGCACAGCGTTCCCCTCCTTGGACACCACTTTATTTATTGCTCCCGTTTTATACTCCACCTCTGGTCCCTGCCTCCTGGATCTCCGTGCTGGAACTAAGCATAAAACAACGCAATAAAGGGCAAAAACACCTTGGACACAAGCATCTTGTCATTTATTTCTACTAATCGCACTATACATTTATCCAGTCACAACCTCTTTCTATCAAAATAGAACAGAGTTGCTCCAACTAAGCAATCTCTAGTTTCTAATGTTTTAGTACACATATTAAAGTAGCCATGGTAATGATCTTCAGAACAGACTAATATTGTTACCTAAAGTCTGTGCTATTATGTCACATAATCTAGTGCACTTCAGAAATCAAGCCATGGGTATGAATGCCAACTCTTGTAGCCAGTCAGACTCTACTGCATTGCACAGTGCTGTCATTCAAATATATTTCAGGCACTGCAGACTGAAAGGTTTGGTGTTTAAACAGGTTTTTTTTTAGAGAGATCATACAGAAGACCTCACCTATGTTTTCTCATAGCCCAGTGGAGAAACTGGGGGTAAGAAGGTGATGCAAGAAGCTGCAGATTTTCCAAAAAGGCATTACACTTCTAGCTCTACAGTGTGTCAGGGGCACATGAATCAAAATAGATAAACAGAATTATAAATAAACTGGCTGTTAAAACTGTTCACATATACACATTTAGGGGTATAGTTAGAACACGGTTCTCAAAAGTAGTCAAAATGTACCCCAAGGGCAGGGCCGAATTAACATAGGGGCTACTGGAGTGCCAACTCCAGGCCCACCACTGAAAATAGGCCAGGCTGGCCCGGATCGCCTCGGTATGCCCAATGGCAATCTGGACTGGCCGGGCTGGACACAATCAGGGAGAGACGCCGGCGCTCTCTAATCAGGCATATTAGGCAGCAGCTCACGGGAGCCCTGAAAGGAGTGAGCAACCACCTAATTAGCCTAATTAGAGAGCTGCCTCTGCTGCTTCCCATCTGACCAACAGGACCAGGCTCATGATGCTCTTACTTGATGCTCTTAATTCTGCCCTGCACACAGGTCGATGGAACAATCCAAGCTCTGTAAATGTCTGAGGGTCAATAGGTGGTTGGTTAATGGTGGAAGGTTGATTGGGGTCAATTAGTCCCCTCAATACTGGGGACTAATTGACCGCCAGGGAGGTTAAATAGAACATTCTTAGAACATAATACTGAGGGGACTAATTCTGTTTGAAAGCCACTAAGTACACCCACTTCAAACCTTGTTGGAGAACCAGTAAGTACACCCATGTCAAACTCATTTGGAAAGCCTGTGAGTACACCCATAGCAAAAGCAATGGTGAATAAAGATTAAAAAATCAGCACTGTAACAACCATAATGGCAGCTGCCTATACCAAGAGGATTTATCGGAGAGCCCGGGGGAGGCCGGGAGAGAGGGGACAGTTTTACATTATGGAGTTCTCACAAGCTGTACTACAAATTCCCCTCTCGATTTCTCTCTACTGCAGATGGGCCGCTCCATGAAGAAATGATACCGCGACCCACTGCAGTAGGTGTCGCGACCCACTTTTGGGTCGCGACCCACGAGTTGAGAACCACTGGTATAGACAGTATTAACAATAATATAATGTTATTACTATTAATCATAGTACTATTTCTTAAAATATTATTTATTCAATTGCTTTCATATAATAAATGTTTGGGGGTCAATGAACAATCTGAAAATTAATGGAGGGGCCAATGAGCTGGAGAATTAGGGAACCTCTGGTCTTGAAGACTACCTAGAATCTAGACATGGATAATGTTTTGTTCTAGAACACTAGCAGTCCAATTATTTACATAGGTCATCATTCAAAATGAAATTATTCACACCACTGTATACCACTATTCAGATCAAAGCCTACAGTATGATTTATATACAAGCATATCATGCTCAAGGAGTGGCATTGCACAGCACAAACTGATTGGTAGTAGGTTCAGATCCCACCCAAAGACACAATGAAAATTCTGGTTTCAAGACAATATGGGAAATATACAGTATAAAGCTCATATTAAAAGAAGAATTTGAATAATATTTGGCCTTAAGTACAGTTGCAGTATTTCTGAAATTGTGTTCTGATTGATTTTACTAAATTATTTATTTTCATGGAGACTTTACTTATTCATATCTCCCAACTGTCCCTCAATTGGTGAAACTGTCCCTCATTTGGAACCAAATCCCTCTGTCCCACTTTACTCCTCAGCTGTCCCTCTGTTTGCTATGATGTACAGATACCTATGAGAATGTTTGAGGACGCCACGGGCTCGCAGGGACAATGTAAGTGCCACTTTTCTCTGCAGCCCCGAGTCTGGCTCGGGGTTTTTCCGCTCCTAGCATTGAAAATTCACCCCGAGCCAGACTCGGGATTACCGCCAGGGAGGTTAAAGTGTTATTCTGCACAAAAACGTTCATCTTATCTCTCAATTATCTTGTCTGCTATTTTGAAAAGCTAGTATAAAGAAAACATAATAGTGGAAAAACAATTCTAGGTTTAACCAATCATTTTTGGCATAAAAATCCTAACTGACGAAACTGAAGAGAGAAGCTGATTGGTTGTCATGCGCAACTGCTCTAGATTTTGTCTGCTCCAGTTTTGATAAATTCCCCCCACATGCTATGGCCTGTTTCCAGGAAACTGGTCATATTTTCTCAGTGAGATTACTAGTACTTAGTCTAATTATCACTGGGCTATCCCATAGTGTGGTCATATTAAAGGAGAACTATGAGATGAGTGATTTCCACTCACCTCATAGTTCTAGCCGACCTGTGACAATGAGACTGTCACAGGTCGGCTCAGTAGATCGGGAGGTGAGCGAACACATACCGGGTTCGCTCTCCTCTCGATCCTGTCACGGCTCTCTGCCGTGACAGGGGGAGAGGCTGGATTCCTCTCTCCCCGCTCCGATCTGCCAGCGCTAAGTGGCGGAACGGACGGGAGAGGGGGCGGGTACAGCTGGCTTTGCCCCTAGATAGGCAGAGCCAGCTGTCACTCACGCAGCTGGGCGGATCTTGACGTCCATGTCGGGATCCGCTCCGGCGTCTCAGTATACCTCGAACTGTAGCTCGCGGTATACTGAGCTTAGGGTAACGGGAGGACGCTAGTTTGTGTCCTCCCGTTACCCTAAGGAGAACTATGGGGAAAAACACTGACCCCATAGTTCTCCTTTAAATGACACAGGGTGTTATTAAGTCTTATATTGTCGCCCTTTACTGGCATGCTTAAAATAAGAGCAGTGCATACTTTCCTACATTTTTGATTTATAATTTTGGACACAACAGGCCACACACCAGGTTAAAAAAAAACACATTGATCTAGAGAAGCAATGTATTTGCCCTTCTAATTGCAAAAGACACAGGGACACTCTGCCTCTAAGAAAAAAGGTTTCGCTTCTGCACATTGAAAGGGTTCTTTACAGTAAGAGCTGTGAGTATGTGGAATATCTTTCATACGAGCTAGGTCTAGTGAACTCAGTGGCTGGTTTCAAAAAGGCCCAAATGTGTTTCTTACAGCACAAATTGTATCTAGTTATTTTTTTAAATATTCCTAAGTAGTTTGTTAATCCAGGTGCATGTGCTTGCCTCCGGGGATCATAGAGCAATTTCTTCCCTGTTAGAGCAAATTGGACTGTGCTTCATATGGGTTTGTTTGCCTTCCTCTGGACTAAATAGACTAGGGGTAGTAAATTAATATTCAAGGAGGCCCGGTCAATAAAATTTTAAGCTGAGGTTCAAGTCGTGGTCTGCATGTGCGGTACAGATACAAACCGTTCTGGTCACTCAGTTCATATCTGTACGGCACATGCAGGTTGCATGCACACCAACAGCTGCACTGCACTGTTCACCTAAGGAATACCCAGCATACACCAAAACTGACATACAGCCCTTGCTGATGCCAGTCCTCTGCTCCCAGCTGTCTGTGATCAATCCTACTGAAGAAGGCCTACTCTGGGAGAGCTCGGGGACCTAACCTGATAGTCTCTGAGCTCTCCTGCATTAGCACTGAGTGTGTGCCAGTTTTGGTGTGTCGGGAGTTGTTGAACTGACTTAAAGTAGAATTAAAGTCTCTATTTTTTACATATATCTACTGCTATAGAGCAGTAGATATATGCCACAACATTAAAAAAAAAAAAAAAAAAGCTGTCAAATAGGTAATACTTGCCCATGTCTGTGTCACTTGCTCCCAGCTGCAGACCACATCTTCCCAAACAACCATGCAGGAGAAAGTGTGTGCAGGCACATGCACAGTCCATATCACCAAAGGGGAGAGGAGGAGAGCTACAGTAAAAGTGAATGCACATAGCTGGGGAGCGTGCACGCCGGAGAGAGACTCCGTGGGTCTGCGCTGGATCAGAGACCGACACCAGCGCTGGAGGGACTGTTGAAAACTACTGGAAGGAAGAAGAAGTTCTGATCAAGAGGCATCACTAAAGTTAAGTCTTTACAGCAGCATTGGGGAAAAAACCAAAAAAAACTAATCGAGGGTTTCATGTCACTTTAAAAGGAGCATGTGTGTGCGGGGCTCCGACCTGGTCGCATGCCAGCACCTAATAACAGCCCCTCCCAGCCAACTCATGCCCTGCAGTGACAGACATCTGTCCCCAGACTGCCTTACACCCCCACTGACATAAATCTTCCCCAGGCCCTATCCCACTGACAAACATTTCCCCCCACACTCCTGCTAACAGACATCTCCACAATTGCCAGAAACTCCCCAAGGTGCATTATGCTACACGCTGATAGACCTCTTTCCACAGGCCACCCCACCCCCGCAGAAGCATACCCCTTCTCACCCCACAGATATCCATCCCTGGTCACTTCACTTAACATCCCCCAACCCACTGACACATCACTGACTGCAACCCTCACGTCGCCTGCTGATACTTATCTCTCTGGCCACCTTACTTCCCTTACTAACAGGCATCTCCCTCAGGGCCTTAGTAATCACTGCCTGATCTGAATACTAAAAAAATGTTAAAACACATTGACATGCCATGACCCCTTCTCTCCCTGTCAACACTGACTGAGAGATATGTTAAAATGTAAAAAACTAAATTTAAAGTAGATCACTATAAAATGAACCCCTTATGGTGATTATATGC